AACTTCACTTGCCAGTCCAGCAGAGAATAGACTTTAAGATCTTACTGCATGTGTACAATGGTGTTCATAAAATAGGTCCAACATATATTCAAGATATTCTTAAAAAGTTTAAGCCTGGTCGTGTAGGTCTTAGGTCCTCTGATGATCCACTACGCCTTATAGTTCCCATTACAAAAGGAGTTTTTGGTGAAAGTGCTTTTTCTGTGATTGGTCCAAAATTATGGAATAATCTCCCCTATGATATCCGCCAGGCCCCCAGTGTGCAATCTTTTAAAAAACTTTTAAAAACACATCTTTTTTCCAGAGAGTAGTTTTTTAATGGTTTTTCCTATACTTGACTGATTCATAATTTTATTACACACTTGTGTTTTATTGTTGCTATGTTGTTATCGTTAACTAGCTTTTTGTAGGAAATTTTATTGAATTCCGGGCTTGTGATTTGTACTTGCCATTTCTTTTAATTGATTTTTATTGTACTTGCTTTTATATTTGTAAAAATGAGTTTTAATGTACTGCACTGTGATCTTTTTTGTAAAGGCGCTATATAAATGCTTTTTAATAATAATAATAATAATAATAATAATAATAATAATAATAATAATAATAATGATAATAAAACTATAGTTCAAGACGTAGCAATATCAATATGTCTTAGAATATAATCTTGACATTATGTCATCCTCATCTATAAATATAAAACGTGTGTTATTCTAAAACATTCCAAACATTGACAATGCCATTTTATTTGACATTTTGCTTTAAATAAACATCATCCTCAATGATTTAGTTTGCCCTTTATATTAACTGCTTTTGTTAGCATTGTACACAAAATTATTGGCTCTCAATGTTCTATATTTACAAGTGTTGTCTTTCATTTGAAAAGGTCTTTTTAGAACTATAGTTCAAGACGTAGCATTATCAATATTATGCCTTAGAATATAATCTTGACATTATGTCATCATAATCTATAAATATAAAACGTGTGTTATTCTAAAACATTGTGTATTCCAAAAATTGACAATGCCATTGTATTGACATTTTGCTTTAATTAAACATCATCCTGAATGATGCTTTAAATTAAAGCGAAACCTGATCAATAATTGCTAAAATTGCTATTTTGCTCGAGGTTGCATTGGCTGCTGTCTGTTAGCAAAAAAATTGCGGGAAAAAAAGTAAATAACTATTTAACAAAATACAACACGAATACAGATGATGTAAAATAAGAGTACCTGTGCCAAAAGGCAGGAATGAAACGAATTTATATGAAAAAGAAAGATGAAGTAGCTGTTTGTTTAGTAAGGGCTACTCCCACACTGAATATGGCAAAGCATTCCTCATTGGCTAGTTGTTTGCAATGATGGGAACACTTCAAATGCTTAAAAATATGGGAGTTCCTGTCAATTATTAGGTGACTTCGCGCTAGCCAGATGGTCGAGATTCAGTTTGCCGAATGCCAGATTGCCGAGACCACTTTGCCGAATCCCAGTTTGCCGAACTGAAAAGCAATGAATCCCAGTTGGCCGAAACCCAGTTCTCCGAACCCAGTGGTTTGGCAATCAGGCGTATATGGGATTCCTTCCAGTGGATGCTTAGTTTATTTTGTCATTCTGATCGGATTTTCTCTACTGTTCCGTTTTAATTTTAGTTTTAAATTGTTTTGCATTATATGGCCGTTTGCTGTTTTATGGGTTTTTCCCATTTGCCTTTTTA